CCCCAAAACCCCAAAACCCCAAAACCCCTATTAGACAAGCTTAAATTGAAGCTATTTGCACTACTAGATACTCCTTTCTGAATATTTATCGCATTCAGGCAGACAACGGTCTTTGGCTTCGATGAAGGATCAAGATCTGAGATAGTTCATTCACCATTAAGAAACACCTTTGTGTCTACATCTGATCCCTTCTTTGAGGCTAATCTTTGGGCACTCTTAGAGTACGGGATTGCTTCTGCGGTGATATTCATAAATTTGGTATCATTTTTAAATATTTTCAACACCTCTTGATACACTGCTTTATTTTTCACATCATCTTTGGTAGGGTATAGAAATTCTCCTTTATTGCCAAGTCAATATTTTTGAAACATTTTTAATGTCTCAGGATTGATTCCAAATGCACTGAAAATAGGATATCCCTGGATATACATGAATGCACTTCCTGTACCGTCTTGGACTCTTGTGGCTGCCTTTATCTTCCAATTAATGCTGCTCTTTTCACACTTACAGAAGTTGTCAATATCTTGGTCAGTTTCTCCAATGTTTACTATACTCTTATCACATTGTTTTCAGCTGTAGAGAATGTGGATAAAGATTGTGTCAACTATCATAAGGCTAAGCTTGAGGATATGTCTCACTCAGGCAGTGCTGTCAATGTCTGCGATTAAAGTTTTAGGATAGTATTTCTCCATCGGGCCTCGAGTATATACTACTTTCTTGACGCTACCGATAGTGGTCACAAAGCTATCATTTAGATCAAGAAGTTCTGAGTAGAGATAAATTTTTAAGTTCTTTGATATCTATAGAATAAAGAATCTTCTCTTACCTTTCTCACTGCATTTTGGACAAGAACGACATGTTCCTCCTGGAACATTTTTCTCGGATTTATTTTTGGAGTATGAGTAAAGTACAAATCTATCGAATTCTGATCACTTGGGCTATCTAGGATAACTTTCACACTTTTGTTTTCAGAATCAAGTCTCTAGGAAGTAAAATGTTTAATATCTTACCATTGGGATAACTTTTCTGACAATTCCTACAATGTTCACCACGATTTCTTTTCCCAAGTCTTTGACTTCTTTATAAGGGTATACATGAGGTTCTTTAGAAGCATTATTTTTTGGACCTCTCTTCTGTTCATAATTGATAATTTTCCAAACCAGTAATTGGTACAAAGGAGTAAGAAGAGAAGGATCAATAAAGTTTTTAGCCTCCTCTTCCACCATCTTATGGTTACTGAGAATTTTAGTACTTTGAGCAACTATTTCATTAATTTTCTCTAAGAGTCCTTTCTCCTTGACTTGATCAATTGTATCAATAGATCCTTCTTCTACACCTAGACTGAGTTCTGTTGGATCTGAAAAGGCGCTTTTTGATCCAGTCTGAGCAGTTTCACTATTTACAGAAGCTCTTCTGTCTGGAGTCTGATGTCTAAGAAACGATCTATCGTAATCTTCAGAGATATCAAGGTCTTCCATTCCAATCTCATTATCTAATTTTGAATCTTCAAATACTTTTGTTCTTGAAGTGGCTGAGATCATGATTGATCCATCTTGTTGAAGTTTGAGTTCACAGTATTCTAAAATCATTGGAATTTGTATTGGAATTTCATTACCCACTGATACTTTCCTCTTACAGATAAAATATGCAGGCAACTTAATGTCAGTCAAGATAATGTTAAAGACATCATTAGTCTCATTTCAGGAGTTAGGAACTTCTCATGATTTGCTTGTAATTATTCATCTTGCTGAGAATAACTTGTTCTCTTCAAAGTCTTCATTTATTTGCTCCAAAATTTCTGTAAATCGTTCATAATTTATGAAAGCATCTTTGATGATTTCAAGGCGCTTCTGGTCACGCCACAGTCTTTTCTGAAGATGATTGAACTCATGAACTGTGCTGATCCGATCCATTAAAAATTTACAATTCAATTTTAGCCCAATTTATAGGGGTTTTGGGGTTTTGGGGTTTTGGGG